TGGCTATCTGGTAACCACTTCCCCCGGGCAGGGATCGGAGATAGTGGCCATTTGGCAACCACTTCCCCTAAGTCACCTTAGAAGTACCGTCCAATTATTTTAGAGCACAACAGTCCACTAGCCTGACCAATTATTAGCCCCAGCCTTCCCCCCCTCCACCCCACTTTGTATTACGCCAATCATCCGCTAGAATTATGATTTAAATTTCCCGCATGGTGTATTGATTTGTTGCCAATACATACTGAGGCCTTTCCCCTACCAAAGAACATATAAAAAGTGTTGTAACCCTGTGCTGGGGGCCTCTCTCTGCACTCGGACATCAGTGCACAGAAAGGTCCTGCTCGAGCTCCTCAATAAATGACTCATTGCCGCTTGCATTGATCTTTGGTCCCTGGTGGTCTTTTCCACGCTCCAAGTCTCTGGACATTATACCATCAAATGCTCTGATGGCTTGGATGGGAACAGCCACAGGCCCATACCATCATGAGGGGAAAATTATTTTAGAGGTACTGGGGTTAGAACTCAGGGTTTTGGACTTGTATGCAGGTGTGCTTCACCTTAAAGTAAGACACAACCCTTCACGAATGTGCATGTCATCCTTTCCATCCCAATGTTTGTCCCCCGCCCTGAGACCTGACTCCTGCAGGCAGTACCCCCGAATGTCCCCCTCTATCTGGTCTCCTGGCACCCTGGTGCAGACTGCCTTCCCCTGGGAGCCTTGGGGCGAAGAGAACTACACTATCCACAATGCATCGAGGCGAGTGGCAGTAAGCTGAGCCAATGAGTTTCGACCAGAGCACTCAGGGCTTTCTGAGCAGATGCTGGGCGGGACTTCTGGCGTCCCTACCGGATGTCACTCTGGCGGATCTCAGGGTCTCCCTCTGCACCCGCACCGCGTCGGGGTCATGGCACCCCGACCTAGGCTACGGGGGCGAGACGAGAGTCCTGGACGCCCCGGCTTCCCCGGGAGGCGGCGGCGGCGCTGGGCCCGGGTCCTCCGGGCAGCCTCCGGCCGGCGCTGACAACCACCGCCACGCAGCCCGCGGTCCAGGTAAAGTTCGCATCCCTGGAATTTCACCCGCGCTCCTGACCCGGAGCCGGGGGGCTGTGAGAAGGGGAGATCGCCGTCTGGATTCAGGCTGTTCAGCGTGCATTTCCCAGAAGCTGCCTAGACCGCCCAGGGCGGTCAGTCAGGCTGGGAATTCGGAGGACGCGTGGCTCCATGGGCAGGGGAGAAAGGGGGACCTGGGTCCAGGAAGCCCCAGCCACGGCCCCCAGCCTGCCTCCCCTTCACCCCTGGGACTGAACCCCCTTAGGAGCAGGTGTTGTGAGTGGCGTCCCAGGGCCTCGGTCTCAGTCCCTGGAATTGTGTCCTTGGTAGACGTGGCTTCCCCTCTAACACTCGACGGGCCTGGAGATCCTAAAGAAACCCCAAGCCCGGGCTGGAGTTTGTACAAAGTGATTTATAATGCCACTCAGCAACCAGCGGGGAGAGAGAGGATGGGCACTGCTCCCAAATGTGGGAACCATACGGGAAGCCCGGCCAACGTGTGAGACAAGTGCAACTGGAACTACTGTGCCGTTTGAGTGTGCGAGCACACCATAGACACCAAGGGAGGTGTGTCAGGGCCTGCGAGTGAGGGAGGTATGGCTCCAAACCTGCATATGGGGAGAGCGTGTGGCCATCCCGCACCCCAGTGCCGTTCTGGAGAGCCCCTGTCTAACGAAAGTGGAGGCAGCCCTGCCTACCAGGCCCAGAAGTCAGATGGTGTCTCCCTGCTCGCCCGCCTGCCTTGTCGCGGAGGAAATGATCAAGTGCATCACGTAGGAGACTGACAGTCGTAGGAGACTGATTGTCGGGGGCAGCAAAGTCCGGCACCTTCTCTGGGGGGAGGGAGGGGGAAAGGGGGAAGTAGGAGGTGACCCGTATTGTCAAAAGGGGGTGAGTGTAGGTGAATCAACCTGGAATCAACCCGAGGGCAAAAGCTGATGGTGTCATGTTCTCTTCCAACCCCGCAGGCCTGCATGACGTTTGAGAATGTGGCCATGTTCTTCTCCCAGGAGGAGCTGGAGTTTCTCAGTCAGGCCCAGAAGCTTCTCTACCTCGGTGTGATGCTGGAGAACTTTGCGCTTATAAACTCTGTGGGTAAGCCTGCCACACCCACCTCTGCCCTGGCTCTGCTCATCCCCCATTCCCACAAAGATGGCTTTCCCCTGAACTGCAAACCCTTGGGCTCTGCTCTCTTGTCCTTTTCCTGTCACGTGTACTGAGTTGTTCACACTGCTACCGTCGTGGGCACCCACAAGGATGGAAGTCAGCTTAGCTAGTCTCGCCTTGCTCACGCTTCCCCTAAGTGGGTGTCTTGGATATCCTTGGTGCCATTTGTTCCTCATTCTGCCCACATCATCTTGGGGACATTTTTTCAAAACTACCTGTTTAAAGGATTCCATGCATTGCTGCAATCAATGTCCACACAGACCATGAGCTATATTTTTTGCCAGACCTTCCTTCTAGTCTCCCTCGAAATACCACTTTTTCTGGTCTGTTTTGTGCTGAGCTGCCCAAGACCGCTGCTGAGAGCTCCACGGCCCTGTCTTCCCCTGGGAACTTGGGTCAGGTACCTCTCATAGGATGCACAGCTGGAATCCAGGGAGATCTCGGTTGCTGCATAGGACAGATATGGTGGGACAATCTCAGAAAGACCTGTGCCAGTCAGTGAGACCCAGTGGGAGGGTGTCACATCTGGGCTCTTTTCAGATGCCAGGAGACTGACCGATGTCAGGCTTAGTGCAAATATCACTGTGGGCAGCTCAGCCTGCCTCCCAGTGCCTGTGATGGACATGTTCCACCTTCCTGTGACTTGTCACGCCCACTGTGCCTCTGGACCCTGGCTCTCCGACCCTTCCTGTCCCTCCATACTACTTGTTTCAGCCCTGTGCCCTTCAGCAGTGTGCATCAACGCTATGTATAACTATCCCTAAGCTCAATTCATTTTTTTTTTTCCTGTTAGTTGGGGGGCTTGAACTCAAGGCCTGGATGCAGTCCCTCAGCTCTTCAGCTCAAGGCTAGCTCTACCACTTGAGCCACAGCGCCACTTCTGGCTTTTTCTGCTTATGTGGTGCTGAGGAATTGAACCCAGGGCCTCATGCATGCAAGGCAAGCATTCTACCACTGAGCTGCCTTCCCAGCCCTCAAATTTGTTTTTCTAGGCATGGTTTCATTTTTTTTTTTTTTTTGTCAGTTGTGATGTTTGAACTTGGGGCCTAGGAGCTATCCCTGAGCTCTTTTGCTCAAGGCAAGTGCTCTACTACTTTGAGCCATAGCTCCACTTCTGGTTTTTGAGTAGTTAATTGAAGACAATAGTCTCACAGGGACTTTTCTGCCCAGTTGGCTTTGAACCATCCTCAGATCTCAGCCTCCTGAGTAGCTAAGATTACAGGTGTGAGCCTCCTGTGCCAGCTTGGATTCAACCAATTTTGTACATAGCATAAGCTTATTATCTGGTGATATAAAGTTCTGGCTGGGGGGCTAGGAAGATGGCTCAATGGTAGAGCACTTGCCTTGGTCAGAATGGCGTCCTTCCAACGCTATGGGTATCAACCCCCTTCCAGCCACTCACTAACACGGAAGCCAGGACCGCCACCTGCTTTTTCCTATCATGAAGCTTAGAAAAACTGGCTAGGGCTGGGAAGGTGGCTCAGTGGTAGAGTGCTTGCCTTGCATGCATGAGGCCCTGGGTTCGATTCCTCAGCACCACATAAGCAAAAAGAAAAAAGCCGGAAGTGGCACTGTGGCTCAAGCGGTAGAGCGCTAGTCTTGAGCTGAAGAGCTGAGGGACAGCATCCAGGCCCCGAGTTCAGGCCCCACAACCAGACCCAAAATAAATAAATAAAAATAAAGTTCTGGCTAGGGGAAATTGTGTGGTGAGGCTGGCAGTTGTCAAGGGGAGATGCAAATAACTAAAAGTTGTTTGCGGAGAAACAAATTGAAATGCTGCCTCCCCTCATTATGCTGTAGCTTACCCGTTGCATTTGCCTGTGGAAGTTTCCAGATTCTGTTGTCTTCAGATGCTTAATGCAGTGATCGAGGCTTTTCTTCCAAAACAGCCCCCAATTCCACATCTTACACACTGTACTATCTCAGTGTAGAGAGCACACCTCACTTGTACAAGGCCCTGGGCTACATGTACTTCATCATCATTTCTCTGGTTTCAGGCTGTGAGCACAGAGTCCAGGATAAAGAGGCATATTTGAGGGGAGTGTTGCACTTGGAGTCTGCCAGGACCGGTCCATTCCTCCCCGAGACTCACCCCTGCCACACCTGTGCTCCTGTCTTGAAGCACATCTTACAGCTGGCTGCTCCTCCTGGGCCAGAGCACTGCTTGGTAGCAGTGTATGCAAGCCAGCCTCAGCATCACAGAGAAGAGAGAGAGAGCTCTGGAAAATGGCATGGCTGGGACTGTGTCTCTAAAGAGCTATGGATTTGGTATGTTGGGGAAGCCATGTGATTGTAATGATCTGTGGAAAGAGCTCTCAGATTATCCAGACCTTCTGCAGCTCTTTGTCATTCCTAAAGGTGAGGAGCCAAACAACGCCGAGCATGGTGGGGGGGCCTTAAACCACGAGAAAAGTCACGACAGGGTCCATGAAAGCAGAGCTATGTCCAGCCATAACCTTACCATCGACACACCAGATAATCCTGGTGAGCCTAGCAAACATGAGGGTACATTCTATGGTGAGCCCCAGCAGAGGCACACTGGGGAGAGGCCTTACAAGTGTCGGGAGTGTCGTAAATCTTTTAAGGAAATCCGTGCGCTCACTGTACACTGGAGAGTCCACACCACAGAGAGGCCTTACGAGTGCCAGGCATGTGGGAAGTCATTTAAGGAAGTCTGTGCGCTCACTGCACACCAGATTGTCCACACTGGGGAGCGGCCTTACGAGTGCCAGGCATGTGGGAAGTCATTTAAGCGAGGAGGTACCCTTGCTGCCCACCAAAGCGTTCACACGGGAGAAAGGCCCTATATTTGTGGCAATGTGGGAGATCATTTACTTGGCATGCCCACCTCAAAAGTCACTGTGGAATTCACACAGGAGTGAAGTCTCATGAATGCAGCAAATGTGGGAAAACCTTTAGGCAGAAGTCTGTTCTCCTTAGGTATCAGGTGATTCACAATGGAGAAAGGCCTTATAAGTGTTTAGAATGTAGAAAATCCTTCAAACAAGAACAGGACCTCACTATGCACCGGCGAGTCCACACCGGAGACAGGCCTTATGAGTGCAGAGAGTGCGGGAAGTCCTTTAAGCAGAGAGATGCTCTGACGGTACACCAGAGAGTCCACACTGGAGAGAGGCCCTATCAATGTGGTGAATGTGGGAAGTCTTTCACTCAGAGTGCAAACCTTCTTGGGCATTCCAGAATTCATACCGGAGAAAAGTCTTATGCATGTAGTGAGTGTGGGAAAGCCTTTAGGTACAGAGCCAATGTTGTTCATCACCAGGAAACCCACAAAGAGAAAAGGCCATACGCGTGTGGCCAGTGTGGGAAAGGCTTTAACCAGAGAGCTCATCTCATTATTCATGGGCGGGTCCACATTGGAGAACGGCCTTACAAGTGTGAGCAATGTGGGAAAGTCTTTGGGCACAAAACAAGTATTATTTGTCACAGGAGAGTGCACAGTGAGGGAAAGCTCCAGAGTGTGTTCAGCATAGGTAACACCTTAACCAAAGATCTTACCCCATTACACATGGAACAGTTCATGCTGCGCAGAGGCCTTGAGGACACGGTGACGCTCAGAAACGAATTGCAGAACCCTCTGGTCTCCTTCAACACCAGAACTGTCACATCATAGAAAGTCCCTGTGAAGGTGACAGTTGTAGCTCTTAGTGCCGGGTTCAAGCTTTATTAAGCAGCAGGAAGTCCCTCCCTGGGAACAGCCTTAGAACAGGAAGGATGGTGCCACCTTGTATTTCCATACTAAAGAGCTTCTGTTAGGAACCCATATGCCTGCAAGTAAGCTACACACCGGATGTGTCCAGCAGGTGAGAGTCCCCCACAGGGAGATTGCCCTGAGCTCTGGGGTAAAGTCACCTGAGGCCCATAGGAGCTGCCTTGCACATGCTGCACTTTTCAGGGCTTTTGACAGAGAGAGTTCATTGCCCCTCTGTCTTAAAGGAGAAGTCCCCCTGTACCACCTTACACAGTGGACGGGTGGTACACTTGAGGGACAGCACGATGCACACAGCCTGTGTCCCTGCTGTCTCACTTCCTGGTGGGAATCTTCAGCAGCCTGAGCCATTAGGACAACTCTAATGTGTTTGCTGAGTAGTTATGTCCTGGCTGATACCACTAAGGCCAGAGGGGTTTAGAAGTGGTCTCTAGACAGCCTCACCTGAAGATGGTTTTAATTCTGTCTGTTCTGTAGGCGATGTCCTTGATCACAATGCTGCTCCTATTGCTGTTCTCAGAAGCTGTTGCTTCTGCAGGTCAGCAGACAGTCACAAGGTTTTATTGGGAAAATACAAAACAAAGTCTGCAAAAGCAAATTATTTGAAAACTTTTTGACAGATAAGTACTTGCCAGTCCTTTTATTTTTTTTGTGTTGGTTCTGGGACTTGGACCTCACCTTGTTCATAGCTAGTATTCTACCGCTTGAGCCTTATCTCTAGTACAGCATTTTGCTGGTTAATCAGAGATGGAATTTGTGAACTTTTCTGCTAGTTTCTAGCAGAAACTAGTTTCCAGCCTTGAACTTGGGCTTATAGGTGTGAGCCACTGGCGCCTAACTCAGAGTCTTTGGTTGGTTGGTTTGTTTGTTTAATGGGCCCAACTACATATGTTACAGAGAAGGACCAAGCCATAGATGACCAAATAACAGTTGGGCGGTGGTGACTCACACCTGTTAATTTCCTAAGCTATGAATTTTAGGAGACTTGGAAAACATAAATATACTTATTATACAAAGAAGCCAGTATAAATACATCCATATTGCTTTAGTTTTTCACCTTTGCAGACAAAATTTTGTATCTCTGGCTAGATATTAAATGTATAGCACTGACAAAATCAACACTTTAGATCTAAATAATACTACTTTGTGTAACCACAGTTCTAAGGTATTCATCTAAGAGAGTTGGACATAACACTGAAATTAACCTTTTTTTTTTTTTTGTCCAGTCATGGGGCCTGAACTCTAGGCCTGGGTGCTGTCTCTCAGCTCTTCAGCTCAAGGCTAGTGCTCTACCACTTGAGCCACAGCACCACTTCCGGCTTTTTCTGCTTATGTGGTGCTGAGGAATCAAACCCAGGGCCTCAGGCATGCAAAGCAAGCGCTCTACCACTGAGCCATCTTCCCAGCCCCTGAAATTAACCTTGACTCAGGTAAGAGTTGGTTTCCTTAGTGAGCAGAATCCTGTCCACATCAGCAGACTACTTAGACAATTGCCTTGTAAAATATAATCTTTGTCCATGAAGCCAGTACATTTTGTAAATGTTATTACAACAGGAAATAAATGAGTTCATAGCCCGAGTGGTTTCTGTTCTTATTTGAAGGAAAAACAGGGTTTGGCATGTGCTGATTGAAGACTGGGAAGTTGCAGTCATTTCTGTTGGGTCTGGGGCTGGGAAGGTGGCTCAGTGGTAGAGTGCTTGCTTTGCATGCCTGAGGCCCTGGGTTCGATTCCTCAGCACCACATAAGCAAAAAGAAAAAAAAAGCCGGCAATGGCGCTGTAGCTCAAGTGGTAGAGTGCTAGCCTTGAGCTGAAGAGCTGAGGGACGGTGCCCAGGCCCAGAGTTCAGGCCCCATGACCGGACCAAAAAAAAAAAGAATTTTGGGAGGCCTGAGGGAGAATGCCGACAGGGGTAACATCGATGGAGATGGGAGGCCTGGGGGGAATGCCAAAAGCAGTGACATGGATGGAGAGGCCTGGTGCTGTCCTAAGCCAATGGAGATCGATGGAACCGCCAGGCCTGAGGTGCATACAGGACCCAACAGACTGAGAACCCTGGTTGGACCCACATTGGTTATTCTCACCATGCTCATGGAATCCAGGCGTCCTCACCCTCCACTCCATAGGGAGAAGAAGTGGTATTTAGCCAGTTTTTCTTTTTTTTTTTTTTTTGGGGTCCCGTCATGGGGCCTGAACTCTGGGCGTGGGCGCTGTCCCTCAGCTCAAGGCTAGCGCTCTACCACAGCGCCACTTCCGGCTTTTTTCTTTTTGCTTATGTAGTGCTGAGGAATCGAACCCAGGGCCTCATGCATGCAAGACAAGCGCTCTACCACTGAGCCACCTTCCCAGCCCTAGCCAGTTTTTCTAAGCTTCATGATAGGAAAAAGCAGGTGGCGGTCCTGGCCTCCGTGTTAGTGAGCGGCTGGAAGGGGGGTGATAGCCATAGCGTTGGAAGGACGCCGTTCTGACCAATTCTAAACACACTGTGGTGCGCATTGAGTGAACTGTAGACCTTTGCCCTCTAACCCATGCACCGCTCCTTGCCAAGGCGGCACCTCGGTGTGTGGACTACATTACCCAGAAGGTGCAGCGGAGAGCGGTGAAGGTCTGAGCCAATGAGCTGAGAGAAAGGTCACTTCCGTGTCCGGCAGGCAGGCGCTGGGCGGGACTTCCGCACCGCCTTGGCTGTTCTCGCCGCCACTCCGGGTGTGTGCCGAGGCCGGAGCCGTGGGGGCGTGGGCCGGGTGAGGCAGCCCGCGGCGTGTGTGCGCGGGGTGCGCGTACTCGCGGCCCGGCGGCCGGGGCTGGAGCCGGGGCCGGGCCCGGCCTGTGGGCTGCCAGGGCGGCCGCCACACCGAGGGTCCCGGGCCTGTGCCACCTGCCCGCTCCCCGGCCTGTGGGCTGCCAGGGCGGCCGCCACACCGAGGGTCCCGGGCCTGTGCCACCTGCCCGCTCCCTCTCCGCCCGAGTCCGGGCCCGTGCCTCCGCGTCTGCCTGCGGGCCGTGTGTGGTCTCCACATCTGTGTGTGGAGGAGGCCGAGCGTGGTCTCCACATGTGTGTGTCTGGAGGAGGCCGAGCGTGGTCTCCACATCTGTGTGTGTCTGGAGGAGGCCGAGCGTGGTCTCCACATCTGTGGGTGTCTGGAGGAGGCCGAGCGTGGTCTCCACATCTGTGTGTGTCTGGAGGAGGCTGAGCATGGTCTCCACATCTGTGTGTGGAGGAGGCAGAACGTGGTCTCCACATCTGTGTGTGCCGGAGGAGGCTGTGTGGTCTCCACATCTGTGTGTGTCTGGAGACTAAGTGTAGTCTCCTCATCTGTGTGTGCCAGAGGAGGCAGAGTGTGGTCTCCACATCTGTGTGTGGAGGAGGCAGAGCATGGTCTCCACATCTGTGTGTGCCCGAGGAGGCTGTGTGGTCTCCACATCTGTGTATGTCTGGAGGAGACTGAGCGTGGTCTCCACATCTGTGTGTGCCAGAGGAGGCAGAGTGTGGTCTCCACATCTGTGTGTGTCTGGAGAAGGCCAGGTGTGGTCTCCCCGTCTGTGTGTGCCAGAGGAGGCCGAGGTTGGTCTCCCCATCTGTGTGTGGCCAGAGGAGGCCATGTCAGGTCTCAGCTACTGCAGCCAGGAGTGGGTGAGCCCTTAGTGCCAAGGCTTTGGCCCCATGAAGTCTGGGCAGGGCCGTTGAGCATCCATGTCCCTAAGGGAAGTCAGGACTTTCATCTTCAAGGGGCTGGGAACCATGAGAACACTGGAGAGAAGAGGCACACAGTCTGAGTTCGGCTTTTCAGAGTTTTCTAAAAACTGCTTACAGTTGGTGTGGGGGTGGAGAGTCGCTGAGCACATAGAGAACTTTGACCCTTGTCCATGTTCCCATGGGTGAATCTTGGGGATAATTTACTGGTTCCTCAGTCACCTCACTCCTGGGTTGGACAGGGAACCCTGAGCCCGTGGGGCCCGCCCTGGCGCCTGCCTCTCATGCCTTGCTCTTCCCACAGATTCCCATGACTATGGAAGTGCCAGGAGACCCCACACAGGTGAGTGGAAGATGTTCTGGACCCTCCATGCAGGTGACCACGCCCTTTGCCTCCTTCCTGTTGGAGGATCCTTCTTTTCCAGTTCTTGAGCTCTCAAAGTTGATGGTGAAAAGTTAGGCTTCTGTGGAGTGTTTTGCATTGCTTGCAGCCATGTGTTAAGGTGTGAATGGTTGCCACAGCCTTAGGAACTTGAATACATGTGTGTGGAATTGAGGATGAGCTTGCCATGTGTTTTCATTGGTGCTGAGAGCGCCAGTGCAGGAATCAGAAGTGGCAGCTCAGATGGACATAGTTTGAATGACAGGACCCAGGACTTGTCGGGCTCCACGTGGCTCTAGTGTGGACACCACATGATATTGGGGTGGCAGTAGGAAGACTCAGTTTGGGCCCAGAGAAACTAGTCTGCACAGTGTCAAGCTTAAGGGAAGGCTTAACCTTTGTGGAAGATGTGTTGGTTTTACATGATACTTGGAGTTGATGTGTCCGGCCTCCAAACCATCCCTTGCCTCCCATTGCCCGGGCTTGTATGCTTCTACAGGTGTTCTTCCTATATCTGCCATTGCATGTGGATAGCCTGGTCACTGTCTGGGGCTGGGGGGTGCGGGGGGATGGAAGGGAAGATGGAGCTGTGTGAGGCAGTGATAGTTGTTAGGTCACAATGCTGGTGTAAAGTGGGGATGCTGCTCTGGCAGAGCATCCGGTTTTTACCTCCTGTGTGTGCCTTGGCTCCTAAGAAACAGCCCAGGGCCTGGTGCTCCTACTTCGTACCCAATGCCTCCATGTTTTGTGAAGTTAAGAAGCTACACTACAGAGGGGTCTTGCTAGTGGAGAGGTCTTGCTGGCCAGCCATCATAATGCCAGAATTGATGCCCTGGTCAGACTTAGGAGCCTGGCATGGTTCATAAGTGTTAGGCCAGCCTGCAGTGTCATTGCAGTGCATCTTCTGTCAATGCACCAAGCACACTGGATAGCGAGTAGTGAGGACAGCGAGGGCATGTCTGTGTTGAGGGACAGAAGGCAGGAACAGCTGTGGGAGTACACATTGGGGAGAAAACATGCACCTGGAAGAACATAGAAAATGCCAGCCCTCCGGCCTGCTGCTGATAATGTGAGGGAGGCAAAGCCTCATTCAGTGATGCTGGAGAGTACCACGTGAGTGTCTTTTGGGCAGTTGTGTAACAAGAATAGATATAGCCCTACATGCTAACACTAAAAGTTAAGTGGTATCTCCACGCTCATCTTCTTGCTAGTGCTGTGCAAAGAAACTGACCAGATACTGAATGGAAAGCTCCTTCTCCGAGTGGGGAGATGGTATATTGAATGTACAGGACAGATGGAGAGAGCTAGATGGGATGATCTCTCTGGACTCCAAGAAAGGAACTGATCATGGCATGTTCTGTTCCAGCCACAGCAGGCCTGTGTGACTTTTGAGGATGTTGTCATTTACTTCTCCCAGGAGGAATGGGAGTTCCTCAACACAACCCAGAGGCTCCTGTACCTCAACGTGATGCTGGAGACCTTTGCACTGGTAACCTCCCTGGGTAAGACCCTCATACCTGCATGTTGCATGGCCTCTTTTTCCACAGAGGCAGCTTCAGATCTACCACTAGTCCTTGGGCTCTGCTGACTTCTCTATTGTTTTGTCACGTGTGCTGTTGGTGCCATAGCTGAGCTGTGCACACTACCCTGAGCAGCCCTAATGACTGCTGAGCTAATGAGAACAGGCACCAGTCTGGGTGGAAGTTGGCTGCCTGTCAGCTTCGACATCCCTTGCTTACCCACTCCCGGACTGCGTGGCTGCTCTGTGACACCTCACAGTTGCCCCCTTTAGGAACTCTGGGCATCATCGTGATCGAGAGCCACACAGACCAGGGGCTGTGATGTCTGGGCCCTTCTCCCAGTATTGTGTCTTGTGCTCAGTGCCACTAGGGTGTCACCTGCCCTGCCTTTCCCTCGGGACATGGTTTCATGTCCTTCTCAATCTGAGCAACTGGGTTGGTAAGACTATCCACTTGAAGGGCACCTGACCTGGATGAGGTCATGGTACTTGGCTGTTACCCTGGCATGTCAGGAAACTTCCTGTGTGCTTAGTGTTGGTGGGTGCCATGGGACACACCTCATTTCTACCCTGTCACCCCTATACTTGACACCAACTTGTCATACTGTGTTTCCAGGCCTGGTGCCACCTATAGGTACCACCTGTAGTTCTGCCTCTTCCCCAGCAGCTACTCGTTCTTGTGTCCCTTGTAAGGGGACGTTTGCCCAGGTTCCCAGTGCTGCAGAGCAACACCTTCTGTACCTGGACCCCTGCTTCTGTATCCTAAGAACAATCTTGTGGGACCAGAGTTGTAGCTCAGTGGTAGAATACATGCCTGACGTGCATGAGGCCTTGTGTTTCATCTCCAGCACCACATTTTCTCTGTGGCTCAGCTTTCCGCCATCACCTGCGTGCTTGTAGCCATCATTTCTCTGATTTCAGGTTGTGAGTATGGAATTGAGGATGAGGACACATCTGTGCAGAGTGTTTCTTTGAAAGGAATGTCACACTTGAGGATTCCAAAGGCAGGCACACCGTCCCAGGACACTCACCCTTGTGACCTCTTTGTCCCAGTCTTAAAAGATATTGTGCGCCTGGCAGAACTACCCGTGCAGACACTGTATGTGGCTGGCCTTCCCCAGCATCTGAACCATCGCAGTGCAGAGAAACCCTGGAAGATGGACACGGACCAAAACTCACTTTTGGAGAGAGATGAAGTTTGTGTCTCAGGGAAGCCCTTCGCCTGTGAGGGCCTTTGGAAGGATTTCCCACTGTCAGATCTGAGACCCCAAGTCCTTCCTAATGATGAGAAGCTAAACAATGAGTTTGGGGAGGCTTTTCACCATGGAAAAAGTAATTGTAAGTTGGTTAAGTGCAGAAAAACTTCCAGACCCTTAAGTTTGTCTTTTCATCACCCAAGAGTCTACACTGGAAAAAATCTGTATGAGCATAAGTGTGAGAAAGAGTTCCGTGATGATCACTCACTTGCCCAGCACCAGAGAGTGCACACTGGAGAGAGGCCTTATGAGTGCAGAGAGTGTGGGAAATCATTTAAGGAAAGATTTTCCCTTATTGCACACCAGAGAGTACACACTGGAGAGAGGCCTTATGAGTGCAGAGAATGTGGGAAATGCTTTAGGCGAGGATGTTTCCTTACCACACACAGGAGGGTGCACACTGGAGAGAGGCCTTACGAGTGCAGAGAGTGTGGGAAGTCATTTAGGGAAAGGTGTTCCCTCACTAAGCACAAGAGGGTCCACACGGGAGAGAGGCCTTACAAGTGTGGGAAATGTGGGAAGTCTTTTACCCAGCGCACCCACCTCGTAAGTCACAGCACAATTCACACTGGAGAGAAGTCTTATGAGTGCGGTGAGTGTGGGAAAACCTTTAGGCAGAAGTCTGTGCTCATCAGACACCAGGTGGTTCACAACGGAGAAAGGCCCTATGAGTGTGGTGAATGTGGGAAATCTTTCAATCAGCGCTCCAACCTTATTTCTCATTGGGGAATTCACACTGGAGAGAAGTCCTATGAGTGCAGGGAATGCGGGAAAACCTTTAGGCAGAAGTCTGTACTCATCAGACACCAGGTGGTTCACAATGGAGAAAGACCTTATGAGTGTAAGCAGTGTGGCAAGTCCTTCAAGCGAGGATATGCCCTCACCGTACACCAGAGAGTCCACCTGGAGAAAGGCCTTATTCATGTGGAGAGTATGAGAAATCCTGCAAGCGAGGAGACGCCCTTATTGTACTCCACAGGCTTCTCACTAGACAAAGACCTGAGGAATGCAACAAATGTTCATCTCCTTCAGCCCCAGAACTACCAAGCCATAGAAAGGCCACATGGAGTTGGTTGTTACGGGAACACTTTTGGCCCAGGCTCCAACCTTACTCAGCAACAGAGAGTCCCTGCTTGGGAACAGCCTCAGACCTGAAGGGAGAGTGCTTTCTGTTTGGGATACCTAACCCAGACAACCCTGATTAGCGAAACATCTGCCTGAAGCTGAACCACATCCTTCCAGGGATCTGGTGAGGCCTCCAGGAGCTGTTCCTCACATCATAAGCTTGTCACAGTGCAATCATTGCCATCCTTTCATAGAGGTCTCTTGGCTAGAGTGAAATAATTGCCACTCTGTCATAGAGAAACCATCACCATGCCATCCTTGTGGGCAGAATCTACACTGATAAGGTAAAGTAAGCCAGGTATGTCTCTGCTCTGCCATTCTGTGATGGAAATCTTGAATAGCACGAATCATTAGAGGAATTTCAGTCCTTTTTGCTGAGTGACGGTGGATGCCATTAGTGCCAGAGGAACTCAGACCTGGTTCAGCTTGATGCTTTCAGAATGGCTTAGCTCCTTGTGGAAGTTCTTAGCCTCACATGAACTTGATGCTCCTACCTACATTGCTCGTTTGTCACTAATAAAGACTTTATTGTTGAATACACCTTGAGCACAGTAGTGGTAACTATGCGGTGGAGTCCTAGAGAATCATGTTTATAGAAGGGATGTACAGTGAGGGATCAGCATTCTGTGCTTCAGTGAGAAAAGTATAATAGCAGGCTGTAAGACTTCTTACCTGCTGTGGTCAGCATCCTGCATTCCTTATGAATAACTGCCCTGTGCTCCCGTCTACATCCATTTGTTTTATGGCCCTGTTTTAGCTTGGTGCTCACCAACATGAAGACACACTTCTGGGAGAGCACAGGCTGGTTCCAGGATCAGGTGGAAGACTCCAACCACAGAGGGCCAGTGACCTCTCGACACCTGCTGGCTTCAGCCATGACCCTGTGCACTCTGCCAGCCGTTCCTTTGTGTCTACGGGCGCCCTGAGCCCCTGGCGGACGCAGTTAACCCTCCTGATGAGCACCGGGGGCGGAGTAGGAGGATCGCACCTCTGGACGTTCTTTTACTGCGGGCTGAGCCGCGAGAACTACATTGCCCACAATTCAGTTCACTGAGTAACAGCCAACCCGGCCAATGGGCATGGAAAACAGCCGTTTCCCGCCCTCCCCCTATCCCAACCGCCCGGGAGCCTGGGTTCTGGGAGGGGCTTCCGGCCCCGGAGCTGTCTTGATGGTTAGGGCTATTTGTGGAGTGGCTGCTTGTAGTGGGAACGGGTTCGGCGCAGGGATCGGCGCGGACCTGGGGCGCGGACGTGTGCGGGGTGAGGATCGCCCTCGCCAACCGGCTGGGCTGGGGCACGCACGCGGAGGCGGAGGCGGTCTGCGGGGCGTGATGGCGGCCGTCCCGGGGCCTCGGGCTCCCCAGGTTCAGGTAGGTGGGGTCGGGAGGGGAGGGGCGGCGCCCGGCGGGATCCCCGCCGTCGTGCGGGGTCTGAGTACCGGCTGGGGGGCCTGCCAGCCGGCGGGGCGGTGTCACGGGAGGTGGGGAGGCGCTCGGTGGCCCAGTCCCGTCGCTGCCGTCCCCCTCCGCCATGTAGGAGGCTGAGGCGATGTCGGCGGGCTTTTGGTCAGCCTGACAGGCACAGCCCGGCCTGGGGCCGCGGAGAGAGAAACTGAGAAGTCGAGGCGACGGTGTGACCCTGGGGAAGAGTGGCTGGGGCAGGGAAGAGGGAGTGCCAGTGGCTGACTCGGGCGGGGATGCGTTAGGAGCGGCATGGGAAGACGGGAGAGGCCTCTGGCTGCGGCCCAGGTTGGAGGCCTGTGCAGCTTGGGTGTGAGGCAGCTTGGAACTGAAACTCGCAAGCGATCGGGAGTGTAGGGCTCTGACCCCGTGTGGACACCTTAGCCGGGCAGGGGTGCAAGGCCTGCCGGAGGGGGTGTGGCGGCGGGAGTGCTAGGCCCCTGCGTGCGGGGACGGTGGGGGGACAATGGGGGAGGGGGGTGGAGAAGAGTGTAAGGCCCCGCCATGGGGGGGATGGGCTTAGCGAGAGCTGACCCCTCCCTCACCACAGGGCCTTGTGACCTTCGAGGACGTGGCCGTTTGCTTCTCCCAGGAAGAGTGGGGGATCCTGGGTGAGGCCCAGAAACTCCTGTACCTGGATGTGATGCTGGAGACCTTTGTGCTCACCACCTCAGTGCGTAAGTCCTCCCTCACTGTTTACTGCCTCAGTGTTAAGTCCTCCCTCTGTGGGTAAGTCCTCCCTCTGTGGGTAAGTCCGCCCTCAGTGCTCACCACGTCAGTGGGTGAGTCCTCCCTACCTCGTTCCTCCCCGGAGGCTGCTCTACCCTTCCCCAGACAGATCATGGCCCCGCCCACTCCCCCACTCACTAAAGCCTTGCTGATGTGTTCCTCATTTTGTGCCTAAGACTTCCCCAACAGGTACGTTTTAATTTATGAAATTCATGAATTAATAACTTTTTGGTGGTGGTGGGTGGTGGTCCTCGTGGGCCCTGAACTCTGGGCCTGGGCGCTGTCCCTCAGCTCTTCAGCTCAAATGGTCTACCACTTGAGCCACAGTGCCACTTCCAGTTTTCTCGTGGTTTATTGGAGATAAGAGTCTCACAGACTTTCCTGCCTGGGCTGGCTTTGAACCAAGATCCTCAGATCTCAGCTTCCTGAGTAGCCAGGATTACAGGCATAAGCAACTGGTGCCCAGCTTAAAACAAATATTTTAAGGTCCCCAAGTTCTGAGTGGCTCAAAGCCAGCCTGGGCAGAAAGTCCGTGAGACTCTTATCTCCAGAAAACCTCCAGAAAGCTGGAAGTGGCTCTGTGCTTCCAAGGGGTAGAGTGCTAGCCTTGAGTGAAAAAGCTCAGAAATAGCACCCAGGCCTTGAGTTTAGGCCCCACGATTGACAAAGAAGAGAGAGAGACAGAGAGAGAGAGAGAGAATGTTACTATAATTTCTGAAAGCATTGTGACAGGAGGTGGACAGGAGAAAGAGGGTAAAGTGTTAGGCTACAGCCTTTACTGGGGTTTTTGCATGAGATACAGCAGGAAAAAAAAAACAGCTTATATTGACTGGGTCAGGTGACTCAGTGGGTTTGAGAAGAGGTCTGGCCTTGCCGTCTACTAACTATTTCCAGCACATTTAGGGCAAAGGAATACATTCCAGTTGTACAAGGCACAAAAAACAGACTTGCAATGTGGGCTCTGAGATGGTTGTTTGCATATGAGCTGCATGCTTTCTGATGAACTGTGGTCTTTGTGAAGAACTGGCCAGCCCTCGTGGGGAAGGGACAGTATCTCTGGCCAATAGTGTTACACCATACAGAAACAAATGTAAATTATCCACCACTTTCAGCATGCCTTTCATCCGTGTCTCTTTCAGATTGTTGGCATGAAATGAAGAATGAAGAGACATCTTCTCTACAGTTCATTTCTGTAGAAGAGCCATCAGTGGTCAGGACTCCAAAGGCAGGGGCATCCACATTGAAGATGCACCTCTGTGACAGCTTTGCCCCAGTCCTGAAAGACATTTTGCATCTGGATGATCTACCTGGATATGAGCCATATTTTATGGGGGCCCATGCACACTATCACCAGGACCAAAGGCATCAAACCAGTGAGAATCTGTTAAGAAGAGATGTGGATAGCTGCTTGAAGAACAGCGTGGACCCAGTGTCGGAGAGCCCCTCCCTCTGCAGGGAGTTTGGAAGGGACTTCTCAGCCAGGTGGGGCGCTCTCGAACCTCAGGCCATTTCCAGAATCACCAAGTGCGGGGAGGCACTCCACTGCAGAGAAAGTCGCCACCAGTCAGATGAACACAGAAGAGCTTCCAGCCCCAAACGGCCAAGTGTTCAGCAGCTCACAGATTGCAGCTTTGAATCTAGCAAATGTGGAAAAGCTTTCCAAGGTGCACACTGGCCTGGGTCACCCCAGAAGAGCCTCACAGGACAGAGGCACCATCAGCGCAGCCAGTGCACCAGGTCCTTTCCCCAGCAAGCTTCTCTCGTCACCCACCAGAGACTTCACTCTGTGGAAAAACGGTACAAGTGTGGTGAATGTGGGAAGTCCTTCAACCAGAGCTCCAACCTCATCGAGCACTGCCGAACCCACAGGGAAGAAAAGCCCTATGAGTGTGGGGAGTGTGGGAAAGCCTTCGGGTGCAAGTCCAATCTTCTTCGACACCAGAGGACCCACACAGGAGAGTGGCCCTATGAGTGTGCTGACTGTGGGAAATTGTTTAGGCAAATCTTCAGCCTTGTTAAGCACAAGAAAATCCACACTACAGCAAGGCCTTATGATTGTGGCCAGTGTGAGAAATCGTTTAGTCAAAAGGCCACTCTCGTTATACATCAGAGAGTTCACACGGGAGAAAGGCCTTACACGTGTGGAGAATGTGGGAAATCTTTCAGCCAGAGCTCCAACCTCATTCAGCACTGCAGAATTCATACTGGGGAAAGGCCTTATGAGTGTGGGGAATGTGGCAAATCCTTCAGCCAGAGAGCCACCCTCATGAGACACCAGAGAACTCACACCGGGGAGAGGCCTTATGAGTGCAGGGAGTGTGGGAAGTTCTTTAAACAGTACTTCTACTTCATTGAACACTGTAGGAGTCACACTGCAATGAAGATTTATGAGTGTGGCCAGTGTGGGAAATCCTTTAGCCAAAGAGCCACACTCATTAGACACCAGAGAGTTCATACCGGGGAAAGCTCTTATGAGTGTGGGGAGTGTGGAAAAGCCTTTGAGTACAAATCCAAACTTGATCGACACCAAAGGACTCACAGTGGAGAAAGACCCTATGAGTGTATGCAGTGTGGGAAGTTCTTCAGGCAAAGCTACAGCCTTCTTGAACACCAGAGAATTCACACTAGAGTAAGGCCCTACATGTGTGACCAGTGTGGGAAATCATTTAGCCGAAGAGCAGACTTCATTAAGCACCAGACAGTTCACACGGGAGAGAGGCCTTACAAGTGCGGTGAATGTGGGAAGGCCTTTAATCGAAGCACCAGCCTTACTCAGCATTGCAGAATTCACACGGGAGAAAGGCCATATGAATGTGAGCAGTGTGGAAAATCCTTTAGGCAGAAGTCTGACCTCCTCCAACATCAGGTGGTGCACACTGGAGAGAGGCCTTACGAATGCAGCAAATGTGGGAAGTCTTTCAGCCAACGTTCTAGCTTCTTTCAACACCAAAAGAGTCACACCATGGAGAGACTCAGGAAGGCAGTACACCTGGGAAAGGCCTCAGCCTGAGGTCTAACACCACCTAGCTTCCAAAAGCCCATATTTGAGAAAGGCTTTAGACCTGCCAGGAATGGGCTGTCTCCTCCGCTCACTGTAACAGACCTAGAGAGCCTTTGTGAGGGCTCCTCTGCCCCTGGATGAGCATCCCAAGAGCTCTGGGGAGGAGGGAGGTTTGCAGGCGCCGCCCTGCAGAGTAGAGTTACAGTACTTCCAGCTCTGCTGTCACGGAAAGCTGTCTACCTTCCCTCTAACAGAATGCTCTGTGTGCACACACCCACCACGTACTGCATTCGCCCCTTCCCTGTGCCTTCTGAGCCACTTTGTTCCCTGTCCAACTG